CCACCATCACCTCCCGGGAGATCCAGACCGCCGTGCGCCTGCTGCTGCCCGGAGAGCTGGCCAAGCACGCCGTGTCCGAGGGCACCAAGGCCGTCACCAAGTACACCAGCTCCAAGTAAACCCGGCCCGCCCGTCCCGGATCTACGAACCCAAAGGCTCTTTTAAGAGCCACCCACAGAGTCCGTAAAAGAGCAATCATGATTTCTCCCTTATTGCCAAATGGTGGTATATCGCATGTACATTTCACTTCCTTTTCTGCCACCTAATGGCGGCGCCAGCTTTCATATGTCTTGCGCTTTTTCTCTGCGACTTACGGTACTGTGGTTTGTAGCTGAAGAGCATTGGAAGATGGGATTGGAGACAAAATGGCGGCGCCCATATGAGTGTTGCTATTGACTTTCCTTTAGATTTTGAATGTTTTTTTTCTCCGATAGCATTTTCAGGTCTTTCTTTGAAGTCGTTTACAAAAAAAAACGGATTTATCATTATTTTTCTTGGAGATATAAATCATAGCAGTAGTTGAAGTTTTGTTACGATTGTGCTGTGTAACGTAAAGGGGATTTAAGCTTGTTGAACGTGCTAAACTGGAAGGTACGTATTGGCTAGGGTGTAGAGCTTTTATTCGGCTGTTTTACAGATACAGGGAGATGTCGTTTTGCAGTACTGTGTTTGTCTCTTTTTTATTTATGGTATCGAAGTTGCGATGTGATGGTAAGTGCTTTGAAACTGAAACTTATTAACTGGGTGATATTAATGTTCTTCATATAGGTTTAATAAATACCAAGCAATGTCAGCGACTGCACAGATAAATTGCATTCGCATAAAAGCACCAGCCAAATACATATCTAAGTGTAGTGATTAATAATCCACTCAAGTCAGTATTATTGTGCTTTTGTGTTTAGTCGGTGTCTGTACCGTGTCCTCTTCCTCACTCTTTAACATTAATGAATTACTGTGGTGCTCTGTAGAGAGCCTGTCAGCCCCAGACCCCACTTCTACTGCTTTCCGTTTTATTTAAGCTGCTGTATTTCTGTCTTCAGGCGTCCGATGGCTTTTCTGGGGAATCTGTTGAGGACGAGTCTGTCGATCTTTAAGTTGACAGTCAATGAGAGACTTCCACACAGGTATTGCATTACCTAAGCCCTGTGGCTTTCTCTTGTTATCAAACTTTTCATCTTAGGTGTTTACCTGGAACCCTGAACTCTGATGAATTCGATTCATAACCATAAGCTGTAAAAACAATTGTGCAGCAATGACATGCAAAGATGAGTTTGCAGATCAGTTAATACATTGTCAGCGTCGCACACTTACAGTACTATAGAAATTATCCAGTACCTGCAATCACAAGCTGAAGAACTGGGTTTTACACCCCAATTTCCAGAGAGGCCCTAGTCCATCTAATTTTATGTGTCATCGACAATCTTGAGCCAACTTGCACACTGCAGTGCCTCTCCTGCGTCCTTTTGGAGAGAGAGAGAGAGAGCTGCAGTACTACGAGAGAGAGAGAAGGGAGGGGAGATAGGCACCTCTCTGTCGCCTTTCCATGCGGTCCGAGAATACAGAGAGGGAGAGACTTGCGCAAGACTGCGGTACAGTTCCAGCAGAGAGAGACTCTGACTTCGAGAGGCGCTGCATCAACCCCCAGAGAAGGTAGACAGGACAGAGGAGAAAAGGGTGGCTGGGGTGCTGCTTTTTCTTTTTATAACCTTTTGTTTATTTGCATGGGAAAACGCCAAAAAAAAAGGCGATTTCAAACGGTTCAGCGGCTGAAAACTACTGGATTTTTAAAGCACTGCCAATTCTAGCATTTGAATTGGCAGGAGAGAAAGGGATCTATACCATTTT